AAAACATATCTGAGCAAATCTCTGGGAAAGAGTGTGGGAGGTAGGTACCGTAGGAGACAAATGAGGGAACAGGGGACCAAAAATATATCTTTTGTATTTTAATTTTACATTCAAATCAATCTGACCTCTAAGTTCCTTCTTACTCACTCCATTCCCCAAACATCCTTATTTGGGTATGACACAGACATACATCTATAGGGCAGAGCTACCCTCATCCTCATTATTTATAATTGCTTGAACATTCAACCAGAAGTTTCCCATAAGTCACATTTCCTATGATCTTGTAATAATTTTAGGGTCATAGTTCTTAACTTGAGGGATGCCACATATCCTGTTAAAATACATTTTTGTCTATGCTCCACAACTGCAGGTGGCCTGCGATCACCTTGTCAAAACATGCTTTTATACCCAACACTGGCTGTCAGATTCCTAATTACTTGGGGTTCTTTTTCCCTGCCTCAAATTCCTTCCTCATTTTTGTTGGCAATTGTTGGTGCTGGGCACCAAATTGCAGTTATTTATGCTACTTAAATCCTACTGTAAAAAGCTTTCTCCTCAACATACCACACAGTTGTCCAGGTGAGAGCAGAAGTTGGCTGAAATAACAAGGCAATGACAAAGAATAATCGGCTCAGATAATCTTCAGGAGCTTGCCCATTGATGGGGACCCAGATGTATCTTGTTGTGGGGCTGATTGCTTTTATCTGTGCCTCCATCTCTGGGTCATCATCATTTTAGAGCTAGAAGGATACTTAGAGACCATCAAATCTAACCCTTCATTTTACAGATATGGAAACTGAGGCTCAAAGCAGTTGAGTGATTTGGCCGAGATCACAAAGCTGGAGAGCATGTAAGGCAGGATTCAAGTTCATGTTTTCCTGACTCCTAGTCCAGTACTCTATCCACAGTGAATTTGAAAAGAAATGCCCCCTTCATCATCGTAGGTTTACTGCTATTGAGTCACATTCCCTATGCAAAGACAGAGTGCTGTAACACTATGAGTGGTAAAGGGACCATGGATTTAGTGTGGGAAGGGAATTCAGCAGCCATCTCCAAATTCTTTATTTCACAGATGAAGAGACTGAGCTCCAGGAAAGTTCAGTGATTTTGCTCAAGATCATATACATAGTATATACCAGCAGTGGAATTAGAACCTCTTACTTCACAGTTAATGATCTTTCTACTATGCTGTACTGTCTAGGTAATTCTATACAAGTATCAGGAATCAAATGATTTATAAAATGCCTTAGACCCTAGGTTCTCCAAGAAATAGCTGTTCTTTAAAATACCAACAATAAGAGAGGTAAGTAAAAGGATCTGAGAATTTATAGCCTCTCCCCGCCATTAAATCTTCTCCTGTGATTATAATACAGAGGTGGGATGTGGGCACTGGACAGAGTCTTTGGGAACACCATAGCTAGTGAGCATGCCTTGCATGATAGAAGTGCAATCTGCTGGAGAAGATGGGATGGAATGGGATCATATGTGTGCTCAAAGGGGTTTGCCTTGACAAGGAGAAGGGTCAGCTCTTCATATGATGCAGGGAGGGTTGAAGAAGGAAACAGAGGCAGGGAGCATTGCTGCTTACAGGTTAACAAGCCCCTTTTCCTATTCCAATAGTTTATGTGTGTATGTGTGTGTGTGTGTGTGTGTGTGTGTGTGTGTGTACACATACATAGATATATATCTATGTATGTGTGTATGTATATGTATACACACACATCCATACATATACACACACACACATATTGAGATAATTTCTCTTTGGATGTTGGGTCGCTTTTGACAACTACATTTTTTTATTCTGCATCAACCCCTTGACCTGTGGTTGGGAATGAAAGTTGTTGTTATTTGTCCTTTATTTTCAAATTGGACCAATGACATCACAGGTGATGACTTGTGCGTGAATTGAATTTAAATAGGCAGAGTTGCACAAAGTCTTCAGCCTCTTTCTCTCTTCCAGGGTCATCAAAATCCAGTGGCAAGACAAAAGTCAAGACCACTGATGATGGCCCAGGCTGTAGTGGATGACCTTAGTTGCATCAATGTCTAGCCAAGCTCTGAGCACTCCACAGTGCCTGCTTCAGCAGCCTTCATGGCTGTTGAAACAAATTGTTCTCATCTACCTGTTCCACTGGGGGAAGTCTTCACATGCTTGGGGGGGGACTCACCAATAGGTTTGTCTTTACTGTCAAGATTGTTTAGTCAGTCTGCTAAGATGGTTAACCAGGGTGTGGCCTCTGGGCATGCTGCAGCTTCTTGGAGTCACAGATGAGAATTGAATGCCAGGTAGAGACCAAAGGTAGATAAGCAGCCCTGAAAGGGGCTTGGCAAGCCCTCACACCAGAGTTGCTAATCTTTGTTGAACACCCCATATACCCCAAGAAGCCTTCCTTTGGAAGAGAAGAGGCTAATGTGAAAAATATATGTATATTTTCCCCTTCTGGAATGAGTACAAGCCTGGGAGTCAGGAGACCTAGATTCTAATCCCAGAAGCAATCATTTAGTGGTTTAAGTGCCACAAAATCACTGTGTTACCCTGGGCAAAACCCTTCAACTTTACAGCTCCCATTTTTCTCCCTTGTGAAATGAGGTGGGAGTGGGAAGGGGGAGGAGTTGGGCTTGATCATCTCTAAGGTGTTTTCTGGCTCTTCCCTGGAGTGATAGCAGGCATTTACAGAGTATCTTAAGATTTGCAAAGCACTTCCCATGTTTTCTCATTTGATCCTCACAACAACACTGAAATATAAGAGCTACTGTCAGCCTTGTTTTATAGATGGGAAGATGGAAGCAGACAGAGGCTAAGTGACTTATCCAGAGTTACACAGCTATCATCTAGGCAGGATTTGAACTCAGGTCTTCCTGGCTCAAGTCCAGCATTCTATCCACTGAGAGCCCTTGAGGTAAGGTAGTGAGTGTCTCTAACACTGGATTTGGAGTCAGAGGACTTGGGTTCATGTCTCAGCTCTGCCATTTACTTGGGTAAATCATTTAGCCTCTCTTGGCCTCAGTTTACTCACCTGTAAAAAGAGAGGGTTGGATGACTAATATGGAAATATGTTTTACATGACTGTACATATATAACCTATATCAAATTGCTTACTGAATTAGGGAAGGGGCAGGGGAGAAAGGGAAGGAGAAAATTTGGAACTTAAAATTTTATGAAAACAGAATGTTAAAATTTGGCTTTATATGTAATTGGGGAAAAAAATACTATTAAAAAGAAAAAAAAGAGAGAGGATTGGGCCAAATGATCTCTGAGGTCCCTTTTATGGTTCTATGATGAAAATCCAACTTGGCTCTGAATTAAAGGTTGAAGTCATACATTTTTTTTTGAAGAAAGTATAGAGTAACAGCTGGAGAATTGGACCCGGAGTCAGGAAGACCTGGAAATTTAAAGTGGAACTCATCATCTTCCACCCCCACCCCCCCACAGAAAGCAATTCTGTATGGGACCAGTTCACTTCCTTTTCCATTCATACATCTTTTTGACGGTATCTTTAATGCCACTTCCCCTGTGCAAATTTTTGTTGTGACTTATTTATACCTAGCTCTCCTTTATACTTCTGATTCTCCATTCAGATTCTTTTCAGTCACCTGCAAATATAGTTTCCTAGTTATATTCAAGTCATTAAGGCTAGAGCAAGTTGACATTACCTTATTCACTTCTTAAAAAAATAATCAATTAGATGTATTTCAATTTGATGGTGAAAATAGCTAGTATTCATGAACTGAAGAAAAATTATTAGAATGCCTAGAAAAGTTTTTTTTCTTTCCTCCCACTGCCGACTGCCCCCTTCCCTCCCCCTCCAATCACAATCCGGCCTAGCATGATTAATTTTCCTTGAACACATGGTAATATTGGACTTTAGAATGCTTCTGTTGTTGTCAGAAGCCTTTTAAAATCTCCTCATGGTGGTAGATGGCAAAAAATTCCCCTGGGATTAATCACAAATATTTTATAAAGATGAAGTTTCGTTATATCTTTGTTCTTTGTATCTTGGCTTTTGTTAGCGCATTTTAATTAGGATCTGGTATCTGCAGTAAACAGTAAACATAAAGAGCTTTGCAAAAATGTATTAGACTGTTTGTTTTCACACTCTAATGCATATTTGCACAATTTTACCATGAAAAAAGGAAAACATGCTAAGCTCTTGGGCTCCATCCCAAATGTCCTGGAATAGAATCCGGAAATTGCTAAAAATGCAACCAAGCCACATTATATTTCAGCAATTAACCTAAGAAAAGAGGGTGCACTCTCAGTGTGAAAGATATTTTGGAGGAGAAAAAAATCTGTGAAGGAAAATACTTCTAGATAACACACGCATCATGCTCTCTAAAGCTATGCTGAATCAAGTCTAATTTTCTTTGATGTTAGAAGATCTGAATAAATATGTGAAGGTGAGCAAGTTTGCCAATGCCCCTTTTTGAGGGTCGACAAAAGAGTCATCCTAGCCCATTGATGACTTTTGCAAAGGGAGGCAGGAAGGACTAACCAGAATGAGGATATGAATCAAACAATCACACGTGTTCTCATTTTAAAAAGCAGCTGGGGATTAATATTGTTTCTGCTTAATAGTTATACAGTATAACAGATTATTAAAACAGCAGCCTTGCAGAGAAGGCTGTTGACAAAAGACAGATGTGCTTTCATTTTAAAATATGCTGATCAAACAGCATCCGAGGCTTAAAACACCCCAAATGTGGCCCTTGTGTATGATTGTGATTGACATGACACCTTCGAATGTGATCAGAAAGGCAGAAGCAATTCAAAGATATAAAGTGATTTTTTCCCCTTCTCCATCAGTGCTTGACCGTTTCCAAATAAAAACAAGATAAACTCATTTATTTTGTTGTATGATTTATTTATGGACTGAAACATGGAAAGCAATGGAGAAAAGGCACAGTCTTGGGTATCAAAATAAAAAATGAAAATCATTACATTTTATTAGATGACAATATAGAGAAAATGGCAGAACCGACATCAAAATGGGGGGAAATGTCAGGCTCAGAGGTCTCAAGTATAAGTTGTATTGGTTTCCCCCATCTCCCCTAAAAGGGAACAATTGCTCTGAATTTAATTAAAAATCAATCTTTTAAGATTAAAGTCATAAAAAAAAAGTTTAAAGACTACATCATGAAAAAGAATGAATCAGGGGGTCTCAGAGAATTTGAACTAATAAACTCTGATTTTATTTCCTGTCAACTATTTGTGAGCACATTAAGAGATATATGGGAATTATTAGTTGGAAATAAAAGCTAGTATTTTATAAACCAATTAATTTTGTTAGTTGCAGATAGTTTTTGCAAGGAGTGTTTTGATCTATAACAAAGCTGTTGTCTTCTAAGAAGTTGTCCTACAATGGAGCTTCTTCCTTTGCACTATGGTTTCTCTTTTCTGCTGAGTTGGAGGCATCTCTTCAGATACACTGAATTTAAAAGGAAAAAACTGGAAATAAAAAATTACCTAAAATATGCCCACAGGAAAATAATTTCAAATTTCTAAAAATAATTGCAAATGTATTTGAAAGATTTTTGCTGTGGCTTCCCTTAAATATGGAGCATTGATGAAAGTTAAATTTTGTAACACAGAGAGGTATCTTGAAAATGAGATCAAACCAATTTTGGAAGGAGACATGAGGAAATGAACATCCCTTCTTTTCCTGGAGAGTTGGGTGACTACGGATGCATAATCCTGTTTACACTATGAGACGCGGTCACTAAGTCAGTTGGTTTTGCATAACTGGTTTTTCTCTCTTACAAGGGAAGGCTTGTGAGGCAGTGTGAGAAGGAAAGCGTATCAAATCACGATTAAGAGATAAAAATAAAAGGCATCAACAAAAATTAAAGAAAGGAGATCAAGTAAAAGTATCATTTACATCACTGAACATTTTATTTTACAATTCATTTTATTTTTAACTCAAAATAGTCACCATCCTTAGCAGGGCAAAACATTCCTTCCTTTCAAAATTTCTGAAAGAAATGATCAGGTTACTTTAGGGTGATAGTGTTAATTATATTCAAAATAAACCACACCTTGACTGGACCTTTCTTCTTCACAAGCAACTTGATGTGATTTCTTACCAATTAAGTGTCCACCAGCCCTCTTGTCATGGTCATCACATCCCTCTTATCTACTTTCCCTCCAAAAAAATCTAATAGAATTAGATTTAGCAATCTGGTAATTCATGATGATTCAGGAATATTTCATCTAATTCATTTATAAATGAACATGAAATGTCCAAATGTAAATTCATGGACTAATACTCCTTATATACATTATAGGCTCCTCCAGAGAGATCCCCAATACTGCTACTGCCACTATAATTACAACAAGTCTACAATCAGAGGGACTCGGGTCTTTTGAGATTCATGCTACAGACTAGACTTTCTTCGATGGTCCTAACAGAAATACTAGAAAAGAGAAAAAAAAAAGACAAAGAGGGAGAGGGAGATGTGGACAAGGAGGGAAAGGGATGGAGGAGAGGGACAAGGAGAGAAAGGGAGGGAGAGAAATGATAGGTGGGAGAAAAAGAAGAGGGAAGGGAAAAGGAGAGTGAGGGGAAAGAAGGAAAGGGAGAGGAAGAGAAAAAGAGAAAGAAAGAAGAGCTGGGGAAGGGAAGGAGAAATGAAAGAGGGATGGAAAGGAGAACAAGAGAGGAAGAGGTAGAGATGTCTTTCATCTAGGTCTGAGTCACTTTCAAATCTTTGGCTATTGGCCTCGCTCTTTGAAGAAATTCTGGAAGGCAATAAGGCTTGGTGTTGTCTTGCTCTACTGTGGTTCCCAATTAATCTGACCATACTTCTTATCTCCCAATCACTCTATGCACTTTGCATTTCCTGTGCTTTTTCTCATGTGGCTACCTACTATGTCAAATGCCAAACAAATGCTTGCCAAAAAGACTATCTTATGAAGAACTCATATAGGGCAAGTGCTCACATGATGGTCAAAAAAAGCGATACAAGGACACTTCCAAGGTCTCTCTTAAGAACTTCAGAATTGATTGGGTGGTGTGGGAGACATTGGCACAGAACCACCCAGCATAGCATACCCTCATCAGAGAAGGGGCTGTGCTCTATGAGCAAAGCAGAATTCACATTTCAAAAGAAACAGGAGTTGCTTAAGTTTAGAGAATCCACCCCAAATGTTCACATGGACTATTTGTGCCCGACTTGTGGTAGAACATTCCAAGCTCATATTGGTCTGATCAGCCCCAGACATACTATGCCTTGACACCAACATAGTGATGTCTTTTTTGTCCTCTTCAGGAACAAGGGACAAAAACAGACCAACTGACCAACCTACCTTCATAATCCCTCTTTCTTCCTTCCCACAGAACCAACTTCTTTGAGCCAACTAGCTGAAGTACAAGGAGCACTGGACTTTTGCTTTTGTACCAAGTTTATTCTCAGCATATGTCTTCCCCTGCCCAGCAGATCTTACAACAAAGATTTTTTTAAAAAGAAATAGATAATAACAACCAACAAACTGAGTGTGTTAGGCAGTCAGGACATGTCATATAACATGCCCATCGTCCCACACCTCTATAATAAAGGAAGTCCAAAGCTTGTCTTTCAGCCTACAGTGATCACTCATTTCTATAAACTCCAGATGACCTTAAATTTGGTAGCATATAGTTTAGTATATTTTTATGCTAAATAATAGCATTAGTATGTCTTCTCCCCTCCAATATACTGTGAGTTCTTGAAGGCAGGAGACCAGGTCTTCTTTTGTGTCCCATCACTATAACTAGTCCAGTCCTCAGATCATAATCTATAATCAGCAAGTACATATCCATTAACTTCCTGGTCACAGAACTTGGATCTCAAAGGGTCCTTTTGGGGGACCTTAAAGCTCATGCCCATTTTACAGATGAAGAAGCTGAAGCCCAGGGAGATTAAATAACTTACCCAAGGTCACACAGGGAGTAAGTGGCAGAAGTGAGATTTGAACTCATGACCTTGATGCCAAATCCAGTGCACAACAATATCATCCCAAGGACGTATTATCCTGTTCCAACTCTTTTGGAGGTTGTTCCTAACAGAACTCTTCTCTTAATGTTCACTGGCTCTTCTCCCTCTTTAATTTACTTCTTCCTTACCCATCAGTCTCCATTATCAATTTTTCTGAATCTCCTTTCAAATGAACAGGATCACTAAGCCACATATCTCCAATTTGTTCCTGTCCACCATATTGTTCCAGCCTTTCTTCATCCTCCTTCATGAAACAGATCAGTGATGAAAGAGATCAGAACGTATTGTCAGGAAACTCACATTCTTACCTATCACTGCTCACTAAGAACCCCTCCAATAGCACTAATCAATGGATCAATATTTATTGTCTGCTATGTGCCAGGCACTGTGCTATAGGAAGAACGTCCGAAGTTTCACGACCTCAAACCTAGAGTCCTACTCTATTCTAGTCCATTGATAACCTAGATTCTAAGCATAAAGCTGAAATGTCTGGGATTCTTGCAACTGGCTGGCAGATTCTAGACTTGAGTAACCATAAGATCAGCAGTCACCTAAAAATCAGCCCCTTGCCCACACTTGCATTGGCCTGTCCCTTCCACAGCTTTTTGCCAGTACGTTCACAAAGAGTATTCATGTAATTTGCCTCTTCTAATTTCAGGAATGGTTGTAAGCATAATTTTGAATATGAAGGATGCTTAGCACTTAATAGACAGGAATGTAATTACTGTTAATCACATATATTGAAAGTTAGCTAGGGCCAAATAGTCTATACCTAGTTTAGGGGATTTATTGCTCTGGGCTCTAATGGAATAATGTTTTTTAATTAAATTAGTCAAAGTCTGACAAAGTTTATATCAAGAAAAATTGAGTCTAAGAGGACAGATAACCTCTTTTGGAAATAAGCAAAGAGAATCATGTTGACTTAAATGCTCCAGAGGCTAGAAAGAATCATGTGAGCTTCACATTAATAGCAAAACAGAGATCAGACAAGACAATGGCCAGCATGATGTCACCATTCATGAATTAGAAGTTCTTCTCTTCAAAATGCAGAAAAGATGAGGCAATAAAAAAAAATTTTTTATCCTGGAAGTGAAGGAAAAATCTGAAACTTGAGAAGCCACTGGTGGCACAGGGAATAGAATGTTGGCCTTAGAGTCAGGAAGTCCTGAGTTCAAATCCAGTGTCAGACACTTCCTTGCTGTGTGAACCTAAGCAAATCATTTAACATCTGCCTGCCTCAGTTTCCTTATCTGTAAAATGGGAATAATAATAATAACCTGCCAAGATAAAAAAAGAAATTATATTTATAAAGTGCTTTGCAAACCTTAAAGTGCTATATAAATGCTAGCCATCATCATCATTATTATTAACTTTAGTTGAGGAGGGAAAAAGCAACCAAAATCCTTACTATCTTCATCTGTGCAAACGTTTACAGAGGAAGGCATAAAGGAGGATGATCAGGAGGATGAAGGGCCTTGAATTTGGGTCATGAGGGTCAGTTGAAGAAAATGAATATGTTTATCCTGGGGAAAGAAAGACTGGAGAGGACAGGATAGCTGTATTCAAATGTCTAAAGGGCTGCCCCATGGGAGAGAAATTAGATTGGTTCCTTTTTGTCCCAGAGGGCAAGACCAGGAGCAAAGAATGGAATTTATAAAGAAATAGAGCATCAGGGTCAAGGAAAACTGCCTACCAATTCAAGTTGTCCCAAAGTAGCTCCAGCTGCCTCCAGAATTGGTGAGCTCCCCTTCCTTCGAAATTTTAAGCAGAGGCATTTTTCCAATGTTATAGTTGGAAGGAAGGTTTGCCCTCCTCCCATTATAGGAGGTGGGACCTCTGTAATGCGTTAGATTACATGGTCACTAAGGTCCCTTCCAACTCTCAAATTCTGGAATTCATTAATTCTGCCTCTCTCTACTCCAGGAAAGTCTCAGGAGTTCCTTTATTTTAAAGGACAAAGGTATGAATGGCAAAGTGGTCCAGATCCCGCCTGGATAAAAATAAACTTGCCAAGACTCATTCATAAGACCTGGTAGATATCCTATAATCTTTCTTTATTATTATCTGTTCTTTGTGGGGAAGGACTAATGGTTGAATTGTACTTGTCCTTTTGGGAGATAGTAGAGAAAGTTTCATCACTTTGGAACCTGTAATTCCCACTAAGAACCAACTCCTTGAAGGTCCCTGATGGTACTAAATAAATAATAACAGTCGAGTTAGGGAATCAAGCGTTGTCTGATTCAACACCCAGCTTAATGAGGTTTAAGGCAATGTTAAGTGCTTTGAAATCTACAGAGAGTAGAAAGGACTATGCACAGTGTCACCCAGTAGGATTGTAACATGTTGTATTTGATATTAGTTCTTTTAATTATTTATTTTAATTCAATCTGATTTTTGTTTCTGTATGCTCCATTATTGCTCAACCCTGAATTATAATGTGCACAGTGGAAATGAAAGGGGCATTAAGTCCAACAGTGAGAATGAGGAAGCCAGGGGTCCTAGACCTGATACCTTTATTATGTTTGTACTCCATCCTAGATGGAGGAATAATTAGGACTTAATAACAATAGCTAGCATTTAGGTAACACTTTAAGGTTTGCAAAGTGCTTTACAAATATGATTTCATATCATCTTCACAACAACCCTGGGAGATAGATGGCATTAAGTAAAATGTAGTCACTGCCCTCATGCTCAATCCTTTGATGCTAAGCCATCATGGAACTTATAATCTAGTCCAAACATACTGCATGTACACAAATAACTCTAATACTAAATAATATATAAGTTCAAAAGAGGTACAAGCAAAATACTATTTGAAATGAATGGGGAAAGTCTTTACTGACTAGGAAGACTGGGGGAGGTTACTTCAAATAAAAGATATTTGAGCTTGAAACAATGGGTAGAAATTCAGTAGGTAGAATACAAGCTATGAGAAAGGGTCTGCTTTCCACATCAATGCCAGCAACTGCTGACCAACTGCCACTGACAAGATATAAATGGGAGGCTTGGGAGTGGTAGCACCCACCAGATGACCAGTCCTGCTTCCAGCCCAGCTCTTATCTGGAAAGGTGGCTGCTATGGAGAACAAGCCAGCTAGCCCCCCTTCCCAACTGCCAATCAAATGCTATACTCAGGGTCAGCAATCCAGCTTAGCTGAAACAACTCTCCTGAGGAAGAGACAGGAGGCAGGCAGCATGTCCCAGGCACATCAAATCATCACCATCACCTTGACCACCAACTCCCCTCACACCCTGATGGAGACAGCCCAGGACCCTGAGCCCAAAAGCCTTGGGAATAGCAATGCTTCTAGCCCACTGTCCACAGCCACCATTCTGGGCAGCAACCCTTATGGAGATGCAGCCTGGCAACTGCTCCCACAGGTGTTACAGCCACAGCTAGTGAAGGCACAGAAAAGAAAGCTCTTGCCACCAGTGTCCTTGGCACTGTCAAATGGTTTAACATCAAAACCTATGATTTCATCAGTTGAAATGACATTAAAGAAGAGGCATTACCACCTGCTTTGCTGTGGCCCCCTAAGGACCACAAGACCTTTCCATTCGACTCACAGCTGAAACCTCTCATATTTGTTGTCTCCCCCATTAGAATGTGAGCTCCTGGAGACCATGTGACTTCTCTATTTGTTTCCCTAGTCCTTTGCACATAGTAAGTGCTTCCTAAATGCTTCATTCCTTCTTGAGTGAGGCCATTTCAGGCACTAGGAACTACATGAGCAAAGGTATGCAGGTGGGAAAGGTTAGAGCATGTATAGAGGACAATGAATAGCCCAGTTTGGCTGGAGAGGAGTAGGAAGAGATAAGGCTGGAGACTTACAGTGGCACCACATTGGGAAGAGAACTGAACAGAAGCTGAGACATTTGAACATAATTGGTTGGTCACAGGGAGCCATTGAAGGCTTTTCTTTCTCTTTTTTTTTCTCTTTTTTAGGAGAGAAGTGATATGGCCAGATACTTATAAGGAAGATTAGTTTGTCAAAGGTGTTAAGGATGGTTTTAAGAGGGAAGAGAGTAAAGGGAAGAAGACCTATTCATATATGATTGCTAATGGGTGCTAATTAGAACATGTACTTAGATGGGGGCAGTGAGAAGAGAAAGGAAGAATGTAAGAGAATCCATGGTACATGGTAACTGGATATGAGATTGGAAAGTAAGAATCAAAGAAAAATCCAAATTCTAGAACATGAAAGAGGAAGTGTTTCCAATGACAGCAACTATGAAGTCAGAAGAGGAAGAGGTTTTGTGAAAGGAATAACAAGCCTGGTTTGGGTGTAGGGATGGGGAAACTATGGCCTCGAGGCCACAACGTGGCCCTCTAGGTCCTCACGTGTGGCCCTTTGACTAAATCCAAATTGGTATTTGTTCTGTGAGGTTTGGATTCAGTTAAAAGGCCACACGTGAGGACCTAGAAGACCATGTGTGGCCTCCAGCCTGCAGGTTCCCCACCCCTGGTTTGGAGCATGCTGTATATGAAGTCCTGGTGTGACATCCAGGTAGAGCTTCCATCATAAATCCAATGAATGCAAAAAAGAATGAGAAGATTTATACAAACCGATGCATGGTGAAGTAACTAGAACCATTAAAACCACATATACTATAACTGTGACTATTTAAGTGGAAAGAACCACAACAAATCAATTGAAATGGAAAGCTGCAAAATTATAATGACCTAACTTGGCCCGGAAGCAGGTGAGAAGACACCTCCCTCTCTTCTTTGTAGAAGCAGGAGACCATGGGTGTGGAACATCACAGATGTAAGACTTTTTCTTTGTGCTGGTTAATTTTGATGAATCGGTTTTTTTCTTCTTTTTAAATTCTTTTGTCATAAAGGATGGCTCTCTGGGAGGGGATGGGAGGAGAGCTGCAACAAGAAATGCAGGTGATGTAAATACAAACAGTATCAACAAAATTATTATTTTTTTAACTTTAAAGTCACAAATAGAAACTTTGTTCTTTATCCTAAAAATAATGAAAAGCCACTAAAACTTCTGGTCTTACCTACCCATACATCCTGGGTAACTTCTCCAGAAGTTCTTCACAAGGAGTTGACCTAATGTGCTGGGAGGACTTCCTCAGTTTCTTTTGGCCTCCTAAGAGTGAATACTCTTCATAAGAGTGAACACCAGGGGAACACTCTGGTTATCCTTTGCCCTCACCTAGTGATGGCCCCAACTGACCAATGGAGAGAGCTATTAGGAAGAGCAACAATGAGTTGTGGATCTCAACTTTAGTGGGTAGAAAGAGCAAAGTATTAGACTGTGAGTCCTATTAGATTGTGAGCTCCCTGAGGGCAGGGACTGTCTCCTGCCTTTTTGTTGCTGTTGTTGCCCCTTCCTTAGCACAATGCCTGACACATAGTAGGAGCTTAATAAATGTTTATTGACTGACTGGTAGTGATCTATTAAGATTGAGACCCCATTATGATTGCATTGTGTTTCATCCAGAGCCAATTAATATCAGCATTAGAAATTTGAGTTAATCTCCCTGCTAGAGGAGAAAAGTATGGTACAATGAGGAGGGACTTGTACATGGATTCACAGGATCTAAGTTCAAATCTTGGCTCTGCCACTTACTATTTGTTTGGCCTTATTTATATCACTTAACCTCCCCCAGGTTTTAGTTCCCTGTAAAATGGAAAGCTGCAAAATTATAATGACCTAACTTGACCCCAAAGAAGATGAGAAGACATCTCCCTCTCTTCTTTGTAGAAGTAGGGGTGTGTGGTCTGTAAAATGAATGTGAGGATAATATGAAAGAGAGAAGAAAGAGCAGAACCTCTGAATTACAAGTTGCATAATCAATTTTAGATTCTTCCTATGAAGGTTAGATCTGGATGTCCTAAGAAAGAGTTGTCTTCCCATGCTCCACAAAGGAAAGAAGAGGATGCTATCAGTAGAAATCACAAGTACTGGTTCCAGGAACAAATCAGAAAGGTAAAGCCCTGCTAAGCAGGCCCAAGACAGCTTAAAATTAAACATTCCACCTAGGCTATCATAATAACAATAATTATTATTTTAAATAATATGATTAGCTGGCATTCATATAGTGCTTTAAGGTTTGCAGAGGATTTTACATATGTCAACTCATTTGATCTCACCATCTTCCTGCATCCACTGACCTAGGCCTCCTCCATACCAGACCAGAGACCAGAGACCTGAGACCTCCACTCCAGGTCAGCCAGGATCCAGGCCCCAGTTCCTGAGGAAGTTAGAGCCCCACCCCATCTTTGGAGCTCCTGCCCTAGGCCCAACTGATTGGTCACTAAGTATGTGTAAACTAGCCTATGCTATGTACTGGCTGACCCTAGATGTGAAATCTTGTCCCAGCTTCACATTCCATCCAGACTGTCCAACCAGGCTATCTCATCATCTACCAGCCAGCTGTGTGTACCAGACCTCCCATCCCCACCACATGCCTTTACTCATCCCCAGAACAAAATAACCCCACCTCATCTCAATGATGAGGATGGGAGCTAGACCCCTAGAAGGAAAAACCCTGGACTTTCCCACATGGCCTAATCTCTGGTATTCCCCTGAGGCTATAATCTCATCAACTGGCCTTTCATTGTGGCTATGCCCAAGCTCTGTTCCCCTTAACCTAGCCTGTCCCTCCAATGTCTTACCTCCCTGTGGGCCCCCCCCACCGCCAATTCCCACCCTTAATCCTATCTAGGCTCCATTCTCCCTTGGCCTAGAGCTCTATTACCTCAAACTACTTGGCCACTCTTAGATCCCTCCCATAGTCTTTCTGTATATAAGGTCCATCTTGTCTCCATTAAGATGCTCAGATTCCTAAAATCTAGACACTGCTCAGATTCTTAGAATCTAGCCAATACTTGTAGACTCCTGGATTCCTCAAGAGTCTGGCAATACGGCATATCTTTAATAAACCTTGTTTTTGGCTGAAAGAAGAATTGGGTTGAATTCTTTTGGGCAGGACCCACTTATTGTGATTTTGGGGTTCTAGCACCCCTCACCTCTAGACCTCATCATCACCTCTTCTAGCTGTTCTCCTTTTAAAATATGAACTCTCAGGCAGATACTGTCTCTTTTAAAATATAATAAAAATATAATGCACAGAATAAGTATTTATTAAGTGATTTTTCTTTCACTCAATCATCCATTAATTATTAGGAGGGAGAATGGCTTCCTAAGACAGAGGGCCTCCCTAGATGTGTCAAATCTGATGACTAACCTCCAAATCTGGTCATAGGGTCATAGACTTTTAAGCTGGACAGAGCCTTGGAGAGCCTCTAGTTTGACTCCCTCATTTCGTAGATGAGGAAAATAAATTCCAGAGTAGCAACAAATGATGTTGCTAGAAAGACCTTTGAAAACATCTGGACAGAGCCAAGTAGGACAGAAAAGAATTCAGGAGCACAGGTAATGTTTCATCACTGTTGTTGATTGAATAAGATGATGCAAAAACTTAAATGGGAGGGAAACAAATGTACCAGAAAAGTATTTGAATTTCTGGACCAGGGCTTAAGATGTAGAAATGGTGGACCCTTGACTAGGAATGGGGCACAGCTAATCAGGACCAAAAAGAATACATGTTCCCTTGGAGATTTTTGGATTAAATCCAAATGATTTTCAACTAAAAACAGAATTGCCCACATACAACCACTTGGCCAGATAACACAGAGGGTATGGGGTTGGTATAACAAGAGCGATAACTGAGGAAATGTCCAATAATTCATAGGGGACAATAACCAGGAAAGGGGGAGGCAATAATATTCATAGCTTCAGTCTAGAAATAAGTATGCAGATTATTATAGCACAGTGCTGAGCTAAATGCTGGGGGAGGGGCAATAAAAAAACAAAGCCCATCCCTGCCCTCAAGGAAATTATGTTGTAATAGAGGAGGCAACCTGTACTAGATAAAATCAAGATGTGCATGGAGTAGATATCTGGTCACCTTGGAGGACAGCACTAGCAGATGAGGGGCATAAACTAGATACTTCCATGTAGGAGATAAATTTTACCTCAGGGATATCATTGAAACTGAGTGGATATCACTAGTGCCTTGAGGGTTTGCCTTTTTTTTTTTTCCAAAGGAACAGATTAGATTTACACAACAATATAAAGAAAAACAACTTTGAAAAACTTTAGCACTCTGATCAATTCCATGATAATCTGCAATTCCAGAAAATTAAGGATGAAGCACACTACTCACCTCCTCACCGGGATAGATTTAAAGTGCAGAAAGACACATACTTCTCTTGACTATGCATATTTGCTATGAGGGCTTCATTTTTCTTTTCTTTTGTTGTTCAGTTGGAGGAGGGAGCTTGGGGGAGAGAAAATAAACGTTTGCTAAATGAAAAAAAAATTTAAAAATAAAACCATTAGGCTTCAGTTTCCTCATCTGTAACGAAGGGGATGGACTAGAAGACCCCAAATTCCTATTCAGGTCTAACTCCATGATCCTACAAAAGGAAAGAGAGTCGGTCCTATATTTTAAGGTGCTAATGAAGAAGCTGGCTAGATAGGAGGAAGGAAAGGCCTTCAAAAATAAAATTCTGAGGTCCCTTCCAACTTGGAGATTCTGAGTCCGTGACCTAAAAGAATAAATGAGGGTCCCTTGTTCAGTGGCCTGGCCTTCTGGGAATGAAGCATAGAAATCTATCTGTGTAACATTTGTACTTGACACCATTCTTGACAACTTCATACAAGAGGACTGTGTATGTGTGTGTGTGTGTGTGTGTGTGTGTGTGGTGTGAGTGTGTGTGTGTGTGTGTGTGTGTGTGTGTTGTGTGTGTGTGTAACTCTACTGCTACCTTTTACCAAGCAGTACAAAGAAGCACCTTCCTGTATGAGTTCTGCCTTCTACCTTAACATCTGCTCTAAGCTAGTCTCTATTCCAGGCTCTTGGTGAGTGTGAATGTTAGTGGCATATAAACACTAAGATTACCTATTAACTAAGCTTCTTATTTTTATTTTTAGTAAACACCTTTTTTAAGGAATCTGACACTGAACACAGATACAAATAGCTATGTTTGTTTAGTAACTATTTCCACTTAAATTAACTAACGTCAGCACAAATTAGCATAACCACCTTTCAGTCACTCCCACTAAATCACAGCCTGAGGGGTCCTTGCTTGTGGCCTCCCATTCACTTTTCTCTTTAATATGGTCACAATTCATTTCTCTGCTTTGTTTTGCTTTGCATTATTTCATACCGTCTTTCAATTCAGTGAGTCAATCAGCACTGCACTAGGTACTATGGATATTTGTCGGTCTTAGTGACATTATAGTATTGCATTTCATTAATGGGTTAAGTCAAGTCAATTAGTATTTATTAAGCTATGATGATGTGTCACTGTGGTAAGCATTGAGGGTGCAGTAAGCATTGAGGGTGCAGTGAAAGGCAAAAGCAGCCCCTATCCTCAAGTGGCTTACATTCTAATGGACCACAATTTATTTAACCATTCCTCTGATTTTGGACATTTAGATATTCTTTTTTTGTTCTTTTCTTTCTTTTTTTTTCCAATTTCATATAATGCTATGAACATTTCTGAACAACTAGCTCTCTAGATAGATAGATAGATGATAGATGAAAAAATACCTATATCTATCATCTATCTAGCTATCTATCTAGCTATCTGTAACTTCTAGACTTCTTCTTAAAGTAAGAGCTCTTCCCTTATTTTCCCTTCCCTTAAATTTTTATCTGTTAGTTGTATATTTTGGATACCAAACCCTTATCTGAGAAATCTGATGCAAAGTTGTTTTTTTCCCATTCAGTCATATCCCTTCTTATACTAGATGCATTTAATTTTGTTTGTGCAATTTCACGTAATCAAAGTTATCAATTTTATTTTTTTGTGATTGCCTCTGTCCCTTATTTAGTTAAGACTCCATCTCCTACCTGTAGCTGTGAGAAGTATATGATCTGGTTCTCTTTTATTTGTTCATTTGTTTTGGTTTTGCTTTTTGATGAGGCAATTAAACTAGCACAGTCACACAACTAGTAAGTGTCAAGTGTCTGAGGCCGGATTTGAACTCAGGTCCTCCTGACTTCAAGGCCCAGAGCTCTGTCCACTGTGCCACCTAGCTGCCCTGGTTCTCTTTTATTTTGTTTTATGGTATGGTCTTTAATATTAAGATCATGTATTTAATGACTGTCATATGTAGAACACTTTAAGGTTTAAGAAACTCTTTGTACCCAAAAATCTTATTCAAGTCTCACTACAAACAACACTCTGAGGTATCTCAGAGAAAGGAAGTGTTTTAACCATAATCACATGGCTACCAAGTGCCTTAGGCAAGATTTGAACCTGGGTATCTCAAGATTCTGAGTCCAACTATTATGGACAAGGCACCAAATTTAATTTACCCTCTCTGAGTCTCTATTTCCTTAGCTATAAAAGGGGGATAACACTTGCACCACTTATCTCAAGGCTTATTACAAGGATATCATCATTATCTATATATCTGTATCTATATGTGTGTATATACATATTATGTATATGTGTATTATGTATGTGTATACTATATATGTATATAATATATGTGTATGTGTATAAAAAATACCTAGCATTTACATAATACTTTAAGGTTTGCAAAGCATGTTACAAATGCTGTCTTATTTGGTCCTTGCAGTAAACCCTGGAAGATAAGTGCTATTATTACCCTCATTTTACAGATGAGGAAACTGAGGCAGACTGAGGTGAAATAAGTTACCCAAAGTCACACAGCTGCTAGTAAGTGTCTGAGGCAAGATCTGAAATCAGGTCGTCCTGACCTCATGTCCAACATTCTAGCCAGCTTTAAGGGCAGTGAGGAGGACACCAAGATCCCTTTCCTTCATAGAGTTCTGAATAGTGACTTTGATGTTTCTGGCAGATTCAGTTAAGGCACAGGGGAGGAGGGGAGGCTGAGAAAGGGTAGAATTATTGCACATTGTGGACTGGTTTAAATAAGTGAACCTTTTCTCTGTACTTATTTCTTTCCCCTATTTTCATCGTACATCACTTTGCTTTTAGTAACTACTGAGACCCATATTTAAATCTGTTAGTACTGACGAGCAGTGCCAGTAAAAATACAATAAAACAAAGTGACTAAATTAATAATTTAAATACTAACAACTACACAATAAAAAAAATAAGGCAGAAGGAATTAAATTAGGAAAAATGTTATCTAAATTAGAGTATGTCTCAATTAAATTAAATTCCCTGATAGAGCTGTTATGTTTTGGAACAGCTTACATGGTGGCAATGACCTTGCCATTGCTAATGGTAACAATTGTAACAATTTGGCTATATATATGTAGGCCAATGCATCAGAGGAATTCAAAGCACTGTGTAAAATATTCATGTGGATCCTCCATTTGGTAATCATTCGGTAAGGATCTATCACGTGCCAAGTGCCATGCTGCTCACTAGCAATACAAGGACAAAAACAAAACAATCCCTGCCTTCCAGGAGCTTGCATTCTATTGGAGGCAACACAATGAGTATGTTGATGTGCAGTTGCATCCAACTTTTCATGACTCCATTTAGGGTTTTCTCGGCAAAGATACTAGAGTGTTTGCCATTTCCTTCTCCAGCTCATTTTACAAATGAGGAAACTGAGGCAAAGAGCATTCAGTGACTTGCCCAAGGTCATACAGCTTATACTTACTAGTGTCTGAAGCCAGATTTGAACTCAGAAAGATGAGTCTTCCTTACTCCAGGCCTGGCATTGTCTCCACTGTGCCACCTAGCTGCCCCATTCATTACCTAACCCCCTCCTAATTTTCCAGGCTTCTTAAATCTTGCTCCCTGCTACATATCCATCAGTTCAGTGACACTGGCCTCCCTGACATTTCCAAGAACAAGACACTCCATCTCTTGGCTCCCACCATTTCTTTTATCCTTTCTAAATCATAACACCCAACCCTAAACACAACACCCCAGAAGTAGTCTGACCAAGACCAAGCATGATGGGACCATCACCTTCAACATTCAGAAAGATATATCTCTTAATGAAGACTGAAATCAAATTAGCTTCTTTGTCTACCATATTGAATCCTGTTGAGTCAACGAATAACTCCTAGATCTTTTCCCACAAATGTTTGCCTCAATATGCCTCCTCCATTTTGCTAATCCTACCCAATTATTAAACCTTCCTCCCTCTTGTAATGGACTTATAATTATTTATCCACATATACGTTGTATCTCCTAAGTAGAATATAAATACCATGAAGGCAAGGACTGTTTCTCTTTGTTTCCCTGGTGCCTAGAACATACTAGGTGCTTAATTAGGGATGAGCTAGTAAATGTTTAACAACTCCCCTTCTACACTTTTAAGTTAAATTTGCATTTTTTTTCTTGGCTTTTTAAGATCTAGACAATTTACAAGACAATAAATCACCCCTTGCCTTTTGGCTTGGTAATTTTTAAGGCGTAACTGCTCATATTTTAAATTTAACAATTTCTTAGGAATCACACTTCTGGATTTAATAAATCTTGGCTGAACTGAATTGTATTTTTCTAGCTTATTTTTTGGATCCAAGTGAAGTACTTTACATTTACTTCTAATTTCTTTAATTTTACTTGATTCAGCTCATCACTCATCATCATATCTTTTTTGGACTATTATCCTATTCACTATTCTACTGATTCTACTATTCTATTGACTATTAGACCGTGATTCTATTATTCCTTGATAGCTGTCTCTTTCAGTTTTGTGACAACTACAGATTAAGTAAGCATGTCATCTATGCCTTCATCTAAATCAGATGTCAAACAAGCCCTCATGCAGTCAGGCCAGCAACATTTCTGAATGGGCCCAAAACACATGAAAATGTAGTTGGGAAATATTTAACAAAAAAATACAATAAAACAGAAATAACATTAAATTTTAAAACTAAGGATCCCTGCAACCCCAGGGATCTTGATGTAGAGATTAGTGGCCCCCTTTTCTACTTAAGTTTGACACTGTGATCTAAATCACTGACAAGAATGTGAAGCAGCATGGAGAAACAGACAGCTGACTACTCTGGGGAAAAAAATGGTAAAGGAATGTTGAACTATCTTTTAAGTTTCCCAAGAATAGGAATTATGGTTACCATTCTTTTCATATTGTTCCCAAAGCACCTGATACTTTATACACAGTAGATGCTCAATTAATTTGATTGTCTAGGGCTGACATTTCAGAATATATGTAAAAATATTACTATCTATTTTGTGGAAAGACATGTTTCCCCAACTTTGGTCAGTCTTGGTATACCTTACTACAACAGAAGTCTCTCCCCATCCAGTCTCCATTGGTACATCCATCCATACTC